AGGATTTGTATATATATATATATATATATATATATATATATATATATATATATACAAATCCTTCAATCTATATATATACTATATATATATACTATATATAATCAATCTATATATATACTATATATATATGGCCTTAAAAACTGGGCTGATCGAGAGCCTAATTTTATGATTCCCGAGAAATTCTGTGTCCTCTCGGTTTAGACTGAGGCATTATAGAGACCGTGTAATCTTATCGATTCTAGTTGCCGTAATTTCGTGCTCTGATCCAAAGGCATCTCGCACATTCAACGTAGTGATTCCGCATGTCTTAGTTATTGGCTTTCGGTCTCCAAATATGTGTGAATGGTTAATTCAATGGAATCACTATCTTGTAGTTGAAGGCGATTGGCTAGCGCATTAGTAATGAACGAGCGATCAGATCCCGTACCAAAGATCACCTCTGTTAGTTCTTTCCTCACCTTGTCGGGATTGAACACTTTCGCCTGTCCTGCTAAATTTTGATTGTTGGATGCGTGTTCCCTCCTACTATGAAGAACGACGGTATCCTCATGCCGCGTCCCATCAAAAATTACTGTATTGATTTTTGATGAACTAGGCCTCTTTTCCTTTGACGTGGTGTTAGATAAATTCGTAGGTGCCTTTGTTTTATCGCTTGTAATATTTCCTCCTTTTCTCGGCTTGTGTACGGTTATTAGGTGCTCATACCTACAAATGGAAGTGTGGTGTACGTGCTTATTGCATTTTCGCCACGAGCGTGCTTTACAATCGGGAAGCTGAAGCAATGCTGAACCGCAATTGTTGCAGAGATTACGAGTTTTAATAATTTGTACTTTTTCTTGCTGAGTTTTTATCTTAGCACAATCATTTGGTAGGTGTCCTACTTTGTTGCAGTAGAGGCATGCATACTGCCTGCTTTTGAATGCCTCTTCTTGCTGATTTATTTGTTCCGTTTTTAAGGTAGACCTCTCTTGCTCTCCGTCTCGTAACTCGAGTTCCTCCCTTATGTAGTCTTTGACATCCTTTAGCAGTTCGCATGTTTTTGTATTTTCTGCTCTCTGTCGTCCTTTTTGCCGAGCAAGCCGTTGAATCTCTTTTGTAAATTTCTCTAACAGTAGTTGCTGCAAAAGCAGGGTATCGCTGAATTCCCTTTTGTTGCAGTTGAACAACTATCGAGTAAAGGGTTTCACATAGCTTTTCCTGGTCTTCGAGGCGTTTCGTCTTTGCTTCTGTTGCACGTAGTTTACGTAACAAATAACGGACGAGAGCTTGTTTATTTTCGTACTTCTCTTTCAGATGCTTTATTACTATCGGATAAGTACTTTGCGATATTTGATACTGCCTGACGCATTCTCTTGCTTCTTCCTGAAGGGCCTCCAGCAGATAGGTCATTTTTTGGAGGTCGCCCATCCGGCGCGAGAGCACATTATAATTGAATGCTCCCCAAAATTCTTCCCACTCCCTTATGCCTCCGTTGAACTTTGGAATAGGGATGGTTGGAAGATTCGTCACAGGTGGATGGACATTTGAATCCTTTAGTGGGTTAGTCTTGGTGCTTTCCAGCGTTCTTCCTAGGTCGGTGAGCTTAGAGAGGCAGCGTTTCGCTTCGTTGAGGTGCTGCACTGTTTTTTCTAAGTTCATATTGGCGGTGCGTTGCAGCTCCTCTTTTGCTTGAGTATTGGGGTTTTGCTGGAGTTGGTCTACCATTATGGCAAAAGCATCCAGCGCGGTCTGGACGCTGTGTCGATCATGTTTAATTGGGGATTTGGCTTCTTCTATCTTCTTTTGCAGTCCAGTAATGTACTCAATTTTCCTAGTTTGTTCGACGGAAAGTTTAGTGCTGTGTCTATTTCGTTTTTATAGCTATTTAAGGTGGATACGAGGCGATTGATTGCCTTTGTTAATAGTCCTTGGCGAGCGGACACAAGATAGTTGTCATTGTTTTTCTTTTGAGAGTTAATGTAACATACTTGTTGGCGGATTCCCGTGTTGAGGTTCGGCTTGTTTCGTTGAGCGTTTCTTGCTCCTTTGAGTTCGAGTCGACTTGTACAATACACCATTGTAACGGCTCACGACGCAAGAATATGAAAGTCTTTCGCGGGAATGAATAAGAGTGAAGAATCGCTTGTAAAGTACATCAAATTTGGGTAATCAAACCTTTAAACGTATATATATACGTTTTACACAGCGATGCAATGAGATTTGTATTGTATGTACAATAAATTACAAGTTAGGTGGTTCAGTGGGTTTTTACCTAATAAAATGCATTAACAATAGTGTATGCACAAATGTAACTACTCACAGCGCAAGAATATGGAAGGTATTTGCGGGAATGAATAGGAGTGAAGAATTGCTTGTAAAGTACCTGTGAGCAAATGAAGGTATTTAACTTATGTTGACAACACAACGTAATTACATGAGAATCGACGATAACATTAATGTATAAGCAATGCAGCAGCTAAGGATTACAGTTAATATCATTACAACCTAAGCAAATAAATTTGTAAAAAAAAAGATTAAGCTGGAGGAAAATGATGATGGAATGGAAACGGCGATCTCCAACGCGTCGTCAGAAGCCAAATGACGGTGTTAGTGGCTACGTCCAAGCGAGTGGCGCTGGTCGTAGGGTCAAGGCTCGGGTCGCGGGGTCTAGTCTCCAAGCAATGAGACGTACCCAATAGGATGTGAATAATGGCTAAAAGATACCGTGTCTAGTGGCGTGCCCGATGGCTAGAATGGGATGTGGATGTAGGACACGCACGCGGGCGTTGTAGCAAATGCAGTCTCTATCGACTTATAGCATGTGTTTGTTAGGTAGATAGAAAATTTTCTATCTGATAGAGGAATTCTGTATAGTCCCCCAAAACTGAAGGAGTGAGCTCTGACGCAGCAGTTTTCTAGTGGAATAGTGTTGGTGTTTTACGTCCGTATGCATGTTGTTCAGTCCTGTCGCCGATTAACGGAATTGTATTTGAACGTGTTCCTCCATTTAATAGGTGCGTTGGTTTGGTGTTGGCGACGTTTTCGTGAGGCTTTTGCTTTAGCTCCTGTGTTTTATCCGGTTGGACTGAATGGAATAGCTGGACGGTGGCTGATGTTGTAGGTTGCGTGGAGTTTCGTGGTCGAAGGTTATAGTGGTGACTCGACGATTCGTGTCCTTCTTGACCGTTTAGTTCGAGATGATTTCTCGGTTCATGTTCTTTCTCAACTTGTGGGGAACGAATTCTTTAAGAGATTATTGGTACGTTGTTGTCACATGATCGAAGTCGGAGATTATAGTGTTGATTTAGGATCTTAGCTGCGCTTTGGGGACCTTGAGTCGGCGACTCCGTCTCTCCATTTGTGTCTGTTTCTGTGTCGGACTGTCTTTCAGCTCAAGTGTAATTAGTCGATTAATTGGTCTTCTTATGATATGTCGTTAATTTGAGTTGTGTTTTTCGGATTGCACCACTTTATGACTGCTTTAAGTCGATGATGCGCCATTTTCCACGCGTTTCGTGGCAAAACTTGATCTTAAATTAGTACTACTGTACCTATGGTTGTAGTCATTAGAATGCATCTTCTGTTATTTATGTTGAGTTTGTGAGTTTCTCGGGGACTTTTCAAGTATTCTTGGCTCCAAATATTTCAATAATGTTCTGTCAGTTTGTGACTTGATACAAGGGCATCCTGCACTTACCTTCGCGTGCGCAGTAATGCTGCTTCTTGAGGTGGAAGATACGTTTTATCGTCTTCTTCTTCTCTACTAAATTCAAATGGATATGTTATTATCATGCCGCGCTGGATAAAGTCTATTGGCGGCAAGGTGACAAAGTTGTCGGAGCCTTCTTTTTGGTATGTGAGAGGTCGACTATTGAGATTTCCTTCTATTTCTACTAAGATGGTTTCCAATTCTTCCGTTGTTGGGACCGTTCTTTGCAATACTTTGCATAGAGAGTACTTGGCCGACTTTATGAAATGCTCATAAAATGCCCCCTGCCACGGAGCATACGGCGAAATTGTCCACCATGTTACTTCTCTTGTTGCCATTGTGTTTGCTAGTGACGCGTCGTTAATAACGGGAAGAATCTCATCTTGTAGAGTTTGTTCGCTCAGTAGGAAATTGGATGCATTATCAGAGGTGATAGTTTTGGGCACTCCTCGTCTGGCAAAAAATCGTCTTAAAGCTAGCAGGAAACCATTTGTCTTTACGTTGTGTACGAGTTCTAATTGAAGTAGTCTGATTGTCGCACACGTGATGATGACGCCGTAGACCTTTGTCGTTCCTTCACTATTTCTCGTTGTTAGTGATCTGAAATAGTCTACACCTACATGCTCGAACGGTCGCGATCTTCCCACTCTCCTTTCTGGAAGGTCGATCATCGGCGGATATTTGTAGGGGAGACTGTTCATCTTTTGACAAGGTACGCACTGTGTTATAACTTTCTTAGCAATTTTTCTTATGCTTGTCATCCATAATCTTTCACGTGGCTTGGCTACAGTTTTTATTGTTGCATTATGGAATGGGAGATGTTCCTCGATAACTATTAGTTCTGCTAATGCTCTTTTAGAGGTGATTAGAAATGGTTGTTGAGTCTCACGTGGCAGGTCTGCTTTGTTTAATCTACCTTTGCACCGAATGATTCCCCATTCATCGTGATATAATTTCAAATGCTTGTAATCTTTCGTTGATCGTGAAGGAAAATGAACTGCTTGGTGGTTTCGTATAAAAACTCGTAAAGTTACTTCTTGCTCTATGGCCGTGACGTATGCTTCCGTTGACATTGCGTGGAGCTCTGGGATATTCTTGTATATTCGGTCACGCAGTTCCTTCCGTACCTTTACTGATGAATCTGAAAACATATGTGGTCGCTTTCTTTGCTCTTGCGAGCCTATTGAATGGCTTCCAGTCGAGTAATTCTTTAACGGGTTTGGTGGTTATTGATGTGGCTGTAGATACTTGCGCCCTTTGTATACTTCCTTGCTGTAAGGTAAAAAGGTGTTGATCATTTTGTGAGTGTAGTTCCTTAATGAATGCCGGTTCTTTCCACCACATATGGTCTTTTAATTCGAATTTGTTTAGTCCTCTTGCGGCACAATCAGCAGCGTTTTGATCAGTGGCTATGTAGCCAAACTGTACAGGCGTTGGTAGGTTTTCCACTACTTCCCCAACACCTCTGCTGTTTTGTGCACCTCGTTAGACTGTATCCAGCTGAGAGCGATTTCTGTGTCTAAGAGTATAGTTATATTTGTGATATAAGTGAGGTAGTTTAGTGCTGTGTATATTGAATGTGTTAACCGCGTTGCCAATTTTAGTGCACGTAGTTCAAGTTTTGGAATTGTGGGGTTGTCCCTGACTGATGGCAACTTAGACTTCCCTGCGAGTAGTTGTGATTCGCCATTGAAAACAATGTAGGCGCAAGTGGCCATAAAATGTTTGTTAGCATCCGCGAAGTAATTCACTGAAGTAGCCTGGTTGAAATTCCAATTTAGGTTACTTTTCGTGAGATGAAGGTTTTAAGCCCGTTATAATCATTGACTATCTTTTCCCACTGATCTTTGTGCTGTTTTGGCAAAAGACTCTCCCACGCATAGTCGAAGTTCCAGAGGTTTTGAAGAAATTGCTTTTCTCTTAATGTGAGTGGCGTGAGCCACCTCATAGGGTCGTAGATAGCAGCTACCTGTTCGGCAATTGCCCGTTTAGTTAGTTTCGATTTTGTTGGATATCTGCATGAGATAAGGAGTTTATCTTCCGTGGAACGCCATGGTTTTCCTAGGGCCTTTTGTAGACTACTTGATGCTCGCTCCTTTTAAGGAATTTGTTGTAGAAACACCTTGTCATTTGAAAGAAATTCACGTAAACTCATGTTCAAATCATTCAATATCCGCTTTACTTCTCTGTATGTCGACACTGCTTGTATTGAGGCGGCTGTTAGAATCACGTTATTCACATAAGTGTTATTGATGAGGTGTTTGACGAATTTTGACAGTTATTTAAATGGTGTTTAATTGTTCCTGCTAGAAGGAATGACGAACAATTGAGTCCAAATGTAACTCGTGTAAATCTGTACACGGTTATGTTTCTTGGTTCCAGAGGTTGTGAGATATCTTGGATCCATAGAAATCGTGTAGCGTCTCTGTCTATTTCATGCAGCCGTATTTGTAGGAAAGCCTTTCCAACGTCGCTAATCATTGCGAAATTTCCGATGCGAAACCGAAGTAAAACGTCGTATATTTGTGGTAGGAACAGTGGACCTTAATGAAGGACATCGTTTAATGAGGGGACCTTCTTGAGGTGAGCAGATGCATCGTAAACATTTCTCAACTTTGTAGTTTCTTTGTTCGGAGTGAGGACCGCTTGGTGTGGAAGGTAATGTATTATCACTCCTTTTGTTGGTATTGATTCCTCAACTTCTTCAATGATGTTTTGGTCCAGTTGTTCCTTGATGGTTTCATGATAATTTTGGAACATAATTGGATCATGCCTTAGCTTCACTATTGTTGCCTCCTACAATCGCTTGACTGCAATGCTTTTGTTATCTGGTAATGTGCCTACATCATTTTTCCAAAGGAGGCGGACATAATAGCCGCGTCTTCCCGTTTTTCTATTATTCTCTGAAACTCTTTCCAGACATTTTCGTTATGTTGCTGTCGTTCTTGTAGGCCTGTGTATTCATGGATTCCTGATGATTTTAGTCACCAATATTTTACCCATGACTGCTGTTCAGTTATGTCCTGACATGCATATGTGGCATCCATAATGAGAGAAGCAGTCCCGTTCGATGTGTCAATTCGCTCATGGAGTGTTCCTGTCACGAGATATCCAAGTTTGGATGGGATTAATTTCAATCCTGATAGCAATGTTCTTGTTCAAATTAATCAACTATTAATCATGGTGAATGAGTCTGAGCATCCGAGGATTTGTATATATATATATATATATATATATATATATA